AGTTTTAGCCAGCTTAGTTCTAAGAATATTAGAGCCATAAGAAATCTGCATTCTGCTTCTTGAGACACCGCACAATGATTTGAGTTTAAAAGCACTATGAAAAATTCCTTCTCTGGGGAAAGAAGAGCTTGGAAAATATTTTCAGGTTTATATATTAGGGGTGATGGGGGGAATCTTATAAAATTATTTGGTTTCATTAGGAAAAGAACTTTTACAAGTATCACTCCAAATGGAAACTGATTTACAGCAAAGTGAAGTTACTAGATATCTCCACATACCATCCTGACTCAAAAGGGTAAACAACCTCCAACTATGCAGTCTCAGTGTTCTAATTTATCAACATTTATTCTTCAAAAAAATCTATGCAGATTCCCACACACACAGTAGGAACAATTGAAGTACATTTCAAGATATTATTCCAAAAAGGTTTTTCAAAAGCATTAGAAAAGCTGACATAATTCCCAGGGTTTGTTCCCAGCTACACACCCAAGTACCTGCTACCATTAAAGCTCAACTACCCTCCCCTAGAGCATCACTAAGAAACCATTTTAACTCAGTCCAGCTAAGCGTCCACATCAAATCCATTCTCTCAACAACTTTCATTCTAAAAGGTTCAGAATTTTTTGGGTAACTCCTAAATTAATGTTAACACTCCTATTGGCATCTCTCAAGTTAAACAAGTCCTCGTTAAACACAGTGCTTGAACAATAGCTTTAGGTATGCCATTCTACATTTGAAAAGGAGAAGTTTAAAACATGAAGGACTCTCTGCCAATGCTGAAAGCCCTGGAACGTTATAACAAAGACAGCAACTGGATTACAACAATAAACTTTAACTGTGCATATTATACCATGCACACTGCAATGAATTGCTAGTTATTTAATACTAATAGTACTATGTTGTAGGTATTAAAGAAATAATTCAGTCTAATAGTGTGTTTAAAAGTCCATAGTGAATTAAGATTAAGCAGTATGACCCACCTGCATGATGTCGATGCTCAACACACTTATCAAAGGAGTGCTGATCCTACATACTGTAACTGCATCACAGCACTGAGATGCTCAAGCTAGGTCAGGTTCTAGAAGCATTGTTGCTAAAGAAGCAGAGTTACTGATGGCCTAAATTATTCTGTACAACATAATGCAGACATGCCAGTCTTCTTTCAGGAAGAATTTCACTCATATATAAAATAATGCCATCAAGAATTTCAAGATCACTAGAACTCTTAGTGAAGCAGAACACCCCACAAGAAAACATGCTGTGGGGATGGCCAAGGATGCTACAGTTAGACATCTGCTACCCTGATAACTCTCAAACGAACACTGCAGTTTTCTTGCTTTCCTAGTCCACAAGCTAGGATGACAACAGGAGACACAGGGTAATACTTTGTAGTGAGGTTTGCCAAAAGATTAGACTGAATATCATCATCAAAAAAGTATTTTTAATAGAAATGCAACTGTCAACAAAAAAGGGGTTACACATTTTTAGCTAGTCTCAAAAAGCTACAGATGAATCCGCGCATGCAGTCACTAGTAAACACAGAGCCTCATGTATAAGATGTCCAAGTTCTAACTCTAGGTCTAAAACCTTGAACGCTACTAGATTAAGAAGTTTTGTTTTAAAATCAGTATTTGTGCATATTCAGAGCAGAAGAAACCAACAAATAATATATTGCCCAAAGCCTCATTTACAGCAGTACAATAACACTTTCCTTAAAGGACCTGCAACAAGTACCGCACGGAAACCAAAAGATGCAAAACCTCCAAGCAGTATCACTCAGGTTTTTAGGATGTAAATTTCAGTGATCCACTCACAGCTGCTAGATTATGCATATTGCCTAAATCATCACTGATTTTAAAGGAATCTGATTTTCAAAAAACCTTTTCTCACTGTGTCATAATGATAGCATATTGACAGCATCATTTTGGCATTCCTTTGCTTTTTAAGACATGTTTTTACTGCCTGTTCTCATCATCTGTTTATTTTTGGCTTCATTTTTCTAAATACTGAAGCTGCCCTATCAGTTTCACAGGCTTATAAATGTTATACATCAAAAATTAGTTTCACTTATTAAGGCAGGAAACGGCTTTAAGAACTCTGGGATCTGTGCCTCAAAGCAAAAGCTTTATCAGCAGGTTGCAGTCACTGCTTCTTGCAAAAGAAAATGGTGCCGATTAAAACCCCATACACCTGATTTCAAAAAGAACACCTACCCACTGAACATTTTTCACACGGCTGCAGGAGGGGCTGTACCCCAAACAGAAGGCAGCTGTTTCTCATATGCTTCCTGCCCCCAACCCTGCAACACTGCTCAAGAAAAATGAAAACTATACATAAAAAGATGAAGTTGAGATAAAAGAACAATAATTCACCCACTTACTTCTCTAGACTTCAGAAGTGGTGTACTTCAATACATAGTGTAGTTCCAAGCCTGACTTGCCCAGTGTTGTGTTTCACTTGGAAGTTAGAGGGATACAAATAGCCACATACTTTAAAAATTAGCTCACTTCTGAGAAGTATTATGTATAATGAGTTCTAAAAGGGACATTTCTTTAAATTGCAATGTAGTGATTGAATCAATACTACACAATATGCAAGCAATATTTTATTAATTGTACTTGTATACAAAACAGTGATTTTTTGAATCAACCTCTTCCATAATCAAATCCTTTTCTATAGCTCTTCACTGAGTTAGAACTAGTCACTGTTAGAATGATTTCCCTAGAATTAAGAGTATTTTAAAAGATCCATTTAAAACAAACCAAAAAAAGCTTCTTAAAAAAATCAAAGAAAAATGAATCTTGCAGTGGATAATGTAGCAGACCTTTAAAACAGAAGAGAACCCCAGTGAATTCACATGGATTCTGCCACGACAGAACTCCTTATGAGATCAAGCCAGAGCCATTTGAGTTTTCCTTCTTTCAACATACTATTTATTCAGATAAACCCACTTAACCAAAACCAAGTCAAGGCTGTGAATACTAATAATGTTTCAAGCATTTTGTTTTCAGAATTACAACATGCTAATATTTGAAAGTCAACAATTTGGAGCTAATGTTCCACAAATAATAATACATTGCTGTAGCACCTGGGATATGCTAGATGTTGTACAATCCCATGGCTACCGAAATCAGATAACAGTTTATCATAAATATTACAAAACCTTAAAACTTCTTACATTAATTTGTTTTTATAGTCAAACAATTTGCACTAGAACCTCAGTATGTTTTATTGATTATGATACTCTAACCACTTTAGAGTAAATGGGATAATGACATTTGTGAAGGAGAACAGCAAGTGTTTTTCATGTTGTACACATGAAAGGTAATATAACAGTATCACAGTGAGAAGCCGGTCAGACTTAGAGGGAACATTAGGACACAATCCTCTCACTGCCAATAGCTATTATCTTTGTAGACTGAAGTTTTGTGATCACTGGTGAAGAGGCAGATAAGAGTCTAGTCGTTAGAAACTGCCCTGAGTAGCTAAATGCAGGAGTTTAAGGATTGTGTAAGAACATGCACTGAAGAACAGGTAGTTTTACCTAACCTTAGAGAACCTCAAGAGCTGTATTTTCCATTTCAAAAGCTATCTGTTTTTAAAGCAATCACAATATTTTATTATATTCCATTAAAGAGATTTAAATCTGCAATTTTACATTAAAGCTTAGCTTGAAATCCTGTACTTAGGAAACATTTTAAATATTTGTATGAGAATGAGAAGTATTCAGATTTTGTCTTTCCTTTCTAAATCCTTTTCCAATGCCTTTGAATTTTGTTAGCATATACAGTGGACAGAAAATTCCCATTACCTCTGTGAAGATGGAAGAGTATGCAAGATAGAGGAGTGAAAGTAAAAATAATATAATTAGTTTTTAATATAAATCTAGAATATTTCTAAGTTATATAAATCAGATGATTTAAAAATGATAGCTTCTCCACTCACCTCAAATAGTACTTATTTAGTCATTTTTTCTTACCTGGCTTCCAAACTATTCCAACTATATTTTTATCCTAATTTTCTTCCTTTGCATTTTCTCCCCCCACACACAAACAGCAGTGGGCACAACAGCCTTCACGGATTTCAATTACGTACTTCAGCTGCCATCACTTACCATACATTCACCAATTGAACTATTTCTTATATATGAAATTGCAATCACCAGAGGTATCTGATAGATTCCTCACCAGTGTAAGTATTCACTCAGCACTACGTACAAATTTAAAGGGTCCAATTTTTGTAGCAAAGAGCAGTATAGCCTTCATAAAATTACTCACCAACTACCAAGACAACATCTTGAAAAAATGGAGTTTCTCTCACCTGGATTATTTTTTTTACTATGAATTTATATGCTAAAAAATTATGACAAGGAGGAAAAAAATATCCATTCATTCTATACACATCACTCTAAGGCTACAGCAATATGTTTGACATCCAGCTACTCCCATTCTTTTTCAGAATTCTTCCAGCCATCAACTCCTGATCACATGATACACAGGGAAAAAAAGCACTGGCGCACTAATTTGGGTGTATCTGTCCTTATTTGGGCACGCCTTGCCCAAAGCTTGCTAAATCTCTACCTTTCTTCAGGCTTCCCAAGCTTATTGGGGAAGGAAGGCAAAGAAAAACCTGAGACACAGGGAACCGACAGAAAGGGAACATCCTACTCCTGTCTTCTTGGCTTGCGACATGCAGAAAAATCAAAAGCTTAATATAGATGACTAGTTACTGACTCCTCTGACTCAGGGAGATGGCATGAAGGCTTTAAAGCAACATTACTTGGGATTGTTCATGGTTGTATTTTCAATTGTTATACGCAGCTACAGCTGTCCAAGTATTATTAGATCAGCAGCAAAATCCTTCCATCGCTGACAGAAATCTGCTTAGGAAACAGGAAAGATGCCCCAAACAATCTTCAGTGCTATTTTAGTTATGACACTTTTTGTACAGATGTACAAAATCAAGCGTTCCCTCAGAGCTTTTGTTAATAGCCCACTTACCTCACGAATGGCTAATCTATCACTCAGCTCCTCAGCCTTATCAATGTCACCTTCAGCCACAGACTTCTCTATGCTAAGTTCAAGGCCAGACTAGAAAGAGAAAAGCAAAAATCTTTTAAGACAAAAATGAAACAAACACATTTAAAGGGAACACCTCCTTTCTAAAAATATTTCTTTCACAAAATTCTTTATTTTAAGACACTGCGTAAACCTGTAATTTCTAAATAACACAAATCACTTTGTCTATGTATTGTAATGGACAGTATAATTAAGAATTCACTGAAAGGCTGCCTAGGCACAAATCATTGCATTAGTTCCACCTTATGTGCAGGATAATACTGTAGGTTAAAAAAATTACACGGACTAGTTTATGCCTGTCACAATAAAATTTCATCTGAAGATCTACTTTATCTCTTCCATCCCTGGAGCTTTCTAAACAAAATGTGAAATATATGTGTCAGGTAACGTGAAGAATGGCAATTACCACTGTATCCTTACAGTTCTAAGATCTTATCTTTAGCCAAAAATTGAGTTCTGGCATGGTGCCACTCCATTGTGCTAATAAATTAAAAATTCTAGCAGTCCTATGGAAAACAATGAAAAAGCTTCAGAACTCAACCTCTGAAAATAAGAAAATAACCTTTATGATCAACATAACATAACTTGTTTAACAACATTTACAAATAATGTAACAACAAAAAGTAAATATTTACTGGAAATTATAGTTGGAAACTTCTGAAGGAATACAGAAGGGTAGCACAGCAGTAGGCACCAACTTCGGAATTTCACAAAAAACTCTCTCATAATAAAAGACAATTTACAGCCTCACTGGTTTTAAATATTAGTGATGCTAAAGAAAACACATTTGACAGTTTCATAACATACAGTTTTTTTACAAGAAAAAAGCAAACAGAATTCTTGAGAAACAGTGATCCGCAAATACTATATTTGAATTCTTCAGGTGGAAGTTAAAAAAAAAAAAAAACATAAAAAAGTGCACAATTGGAAGTTGCAGTGATTGCCAGTTTTGTTAGATGTTCTGAAATTGAGACATATATTCCACTAGGGATAAAATCTCTGAACCTATGTGGAAAGTATCTGCATTTTGATTCTTTGGGCCTCATTCCAGATCTATCTTGAGCAGTTTAATGGCAACTAAATACCCACCAAAAGTAAGAACTCAGACAGAAGCGAACAACATCTCATGACTTGCATGCAGAAACTTAGTTTAGGCAAATGAAAAATACAAAATTTATCATAAATGAGGCTAACTGAACATTTGATGTCGTAGGACTTATACAGACCTTTACTAGAAAAACTACAGAACAAACAGCACTACGAGGAACTCACAATATAATGAGTTTCTGAACTTGTCCATCCTGTTGTACCACTTATTTCAAATACGACTAGCTACACAATATTTGTGAACAGAATGTGTCATAAAGCCAATAAAACTGTATGGTAGGTTTGGCCCTCTTAATTCCTATAGCCACTGGTGTCAACTAAAGGATTTATGTGACACATTTTGAAGTTAAAACACAACTTAAAAAAAGTCAAACAATGTATACGAAGTGTTCTGTCTCTCATGATAACAGAAAACAAAACCAGACAAGAAACAAGCATAGATACTGTCTCAAAAGAAAGCACAGCAACCTTTCAATCCAAGTGCGATTCGTGTGATATCTAAAAGGAAATTCATTAAAAGTGTGCACAAAATTATCCTTTCTCAGAGTGACCTGATCATCTACTCACTTCCAAATAGTTTCTGTTTTATTCCTATCTCAGTTAAGGCTGAGTTCTTTTAATCGCCAAGTACAGGCTGACATTGCTTTTGTATCAACAGTCACCTTTTGTGGAGCCCTGCTATCCACAGGTGATTCAAATCTATCATTGATTCCAAAGTATTGTGTAAGTTCTTTCCATTTGTCTTCATGTGCCAACTGTTGACTACTAAAAACAAACAAAAAGTCATTAATATAACCAGTTCCTTTTCCACAACTTGCACAATTCTTTTCAACACTAAAAGAAATTCTTCCATTTGGCAGATATGCTCTTTTCTCCCATTCAATTTTTAATGAAAGTGAAATTCATTATTCTATCCCCTCTGTAAGTGCAATTCTACAATTTTGAAAGCAAGCTTATCAAATCATAGGATCATTTAGGTTGGGAAAGACCTTTAAGATCACTAAGTCCAACCATTAACCTAATACTGCCAAGCAGGAAAAAGAAGAGCGGGAGAAGTAGCTGAACAGGAGCTTGTATGCCATTACATGCAAAACTTCATTAGGAATAACATTAAATCCATTTTAAGTTACATTAAGTAATACATTTGTGTTGATTTTTAAAATCAAGCAATGAACTCCATCAAGCAACCACTGGTATCAAACTCAGCCTGCCCAACAGAGACACTGAGTATGTTCAGAAGATACTTTACATGATGTTCAAAGCTAGGCTTTGGCCATGCACGTGGTCAAGCTTTTTACAAGTTTTGCCCAACATTTAAAACAGACCTCAGATAATCACATTGATCTGGTTATACCTCTTAGTCACTTCATCGTTCTTTTTCTGTTTTTCTAGGGGAGGAGAAAAAAAAAGCCAAGATTACACAGTAATACCCTACAGCGTCCAATGAAGTTAACAGAACTCTAATTGGTCACATTTCCTCTGAAAGACTGACATACTAGGATTTTTACCCAATGATCACGTGGATTTAAACCACTCAGCTGTAAGACTTTTCATACAAAGAAACTCCAACAATATCTGTGAAGAAGTTTTAACCAGAATACACAAGAGTATCTTTATAGAATTACTGAAATACAGTTAGCCATTATAAATCAGTATTAACTGAGTAAGTTCTAACTCCTTTTTAAAGAGAGGACAAATATATTACTTGAACTTTAAGTAGCAATTTCCAACCCAGTCCTACAAGGGCTGTATACAGCTGGGAAAATAAAATGCTAGATAATAGCTAGCATACATCTACTCAGGCATTCAATTCTTGGAAAAAAAAAAACACCAAAAAAACCCAACAACACAAAAAACACACCCCCCCAAACAAAACCAACAAAAAAAAAAAAGCTCTCACAAACCAGCAAATTCCACTTCCAACGTATTTGATAGCAATTTCATTTTGAGAAAATAAATTCTGTAATTACACAAAACACCTTTTCTGTGGCGCTTTCTTTTTCGGCCTTTGTTTGCCTGTTTTGCTTGGGCTTTCATTTCACGGTTTTTCTTCTGAAGCTCCACAAATTTCTACAAGATTAAGAAAAGGTAAATCAGTATTTTTTCATTTTTTTTTCCCCTTTTTAAAAAAGTTACATGAAGTGCTAAGAAACAGTGTCCCAATATCTTATTTATCCACAGTACTTTGTTATATCTATTACATTAAAATTTATGAATTGAGAACATCTAACTCTGATGCTGTTAGACTGGAATCGGGTCTAATCTTTTATCACGTCTCTGACTTTCTGCCCTCCCTAAATCCCAAGACTATTCAAACCTGGCCATTCTCTCATGGGATGTGACACTAAATACAGTTATGCTGGTTGTGCACTCCTGAGCTGTTCAATGTACTGGTACTGCCTATCTGGTAGTTTGTAATCCATGTACTACTGACAGCACAGTCCTTGCACAGCAGGCTACCTACACGGATCAATGAATGGAGGACAGTAACTAGTTTTTGCCAATTCTTATTTTGACTCAAAAACCTAAAACGCAATTGCTTTGTTTACATTTATTTTTTTTCAGTTTTCACATGCAACAGGAAAATCAAGAGGTTATAAGCAGCTATGAGTCTGAATGCCTGCAACTAACCCTTACAGAAAGCAGAAGGGTACCCTTCTGCTTTGCAGATAGGCATTACCAGTACAGTGGCTGATATACTTAGCTGTAAACACAGAAAGCAGTTACAAGAAGCTCAGAGCCCATACACTACCAAAACCACAAGTCTTTATGCAACTGTATAGTTATTCAAGTATCTCCCTACTGTGCTTTCAATCACCACTGCACTAAGAGAAAAAAAACCACCAAAACAACTTACATTCACTTTCTATCTAATTCCTATTCACTCTGCTTGAAACAATCTAAAGTATACTACGATGACTGCACTTTGATCATTTTTTAATCTCATTTCAGATTTGTATATTAAATTAAAATGACCCAATGTTGAATATTCAAAGATTAGCCATTCGACTGAGTATGTTGCATTTATACTCTGGACATTTGGAGACCTGTAACGATACCCACATTCCACATATTTAAAGAAACTCCAGAAGGGCATGTTCGAGATTCATTTTCTCCATCTGTCACTGCTACTACAATGGGTTCACTGATGGCATTACTCTCAGGTCCATTCTCCTGGAATTCAGAAAGCTGAACTCTTTCAATATCTTGTTTTGCATCTTCCTTTGAAAAGGAACCATGCGATTCGTCTCCATCATCAGAACTTAAGTCAACATCACTTTCATTCAGCCCTGGAGGTAACAGTCCGCTCCACATCTTCCCGTTTAAACAAGTCCAAGCCACTTCAAGTCACTGCAAAGACACCAGAGTTATGCGAGCTTACCCGTTCTGAGAAAAAAACATAATTAGCCTGCAGAAGACAGAAACAGAAATAACAAAACACATCATCATAAGTATTTTAGTTTCTCTTGAGAAAAGTAACTATCATTTGACGTTTTAGATAAGCACATTATAAAGTTTCTAATACTTACTATTTCAGAGAGAAGTAAAGGATTTAAGTACACAGGTTGAAACTATTAGCTCCTTTTTTTTTCCATCTCCTTGTTCTTTAAAGTTTCGTCACTTTGTTTATAGCCGCTTTCAGTTTAAGGGCGATATCGCAGCAAACGCCTCCTGCCCCTCTCCGCGGGCAGCACGTCCAACCCTTCCCCACGATCGCTTCCCAGGACAGCACAAACGCCGCCCCTCGCCTGAGGGCAAGGCCGGGTACG